TTGTCCCAGCTTTCCAGCCTTTCTGATCCTGTGACTGTTTGGAGCTCCACTCTTAACCTATTAGCCCATCAAAAAGGGAAGAGTTATCATGTTTTAAAGAAGTGGAGCTATGCTGCCAACCCAGAGGCACCAACCCCAGGGAGAAAGATGGACAATCTCCTCCCAAGTGATTTATAGCCTCTGGACTGGAAAACTCACTGGAGGGTCACCTGTGAGTTAGTTCTGACTCAACGGCAGATAACAGCAGCCTAGTTCTCCCAGAGGATGTTGTTAGCCAGTCCTTGGAAGACATCATTCTTGGAATGGTAGTGGGTCAGCGGAAGGAAGGCAGGCCGCCGCTTGACAAGATGGATTGATACAGGACTACATCAATGGGCTCAAGTATATCAGAACTGAGGACGGTACAAGATAGGGCAGGGTTCAGATCTATCATTCATAGGGTTGCTAAGAGTAGTAGTTGACTATCATGTAACAGCTACACACTTCTCTATGTCATTTCCCAGGATTCACATTCTCCACATTTTCCTTATGATTAGGGAGAGGGTGGGTACCCAGTCTGGGTGACACCTAGAGCTCCTTTTTATGGAGGAACTTGGTCCCCAACATTCTCTCTCTGGGCCTCACTGGAAGCCTGGTTGTCCCGGAGTGGAGGAGGGGCTGGACAGGCAGAGGGAAGTCCTTCAACCCTGTCTTGTTTTCTGAGAAGGCTGAATTCCCAGGAGCCCCCCCTGAAGGCTCTTCCTGGCTGTTCCAGGAATGGCCTAAGCCTGTGCTGTCTTGAAACCACTGTTGCTTCAGAGACCAGGTCTTTAGGGGTTTGCTTCTGAAGAAGTGGGAGAGGCACTGGGGCGAGGTGGGATGTGTTGTCACAGAGCTTCAGCTCCAGCTCTACTTGTCATACCCTCTGGGTTAGTGCTCATTGAGCCCTGTGAGAGGGTTAGTGCTCATTGAGTCCTGTGAGGAAGAAGCCACTGCTTATTCCCGTTCTGAGCTAGAGAAGTGAAATCATTTGCCCCAGGTCATACAGCCTGCATGGGGCAGACAGAGCCTGAATTTAAACCAAGCTGTCTCTGAAGCCCTTTACTCTCCCCTGAGAGCAGGCTGAGGGAAGGGCAGAAGGACTATGGCTTGGATCAAGCTGAGGATTTAGTTGGCATGGGATGACCAGCCTTGGCAGTTCCCTGGATATGATTGCAGCAGAACCAGACCACTTTGTCTTTCCTGGCTTCTGAGGATGAGTTGTGTATGTGAATGATGGAACTAGCCCACCCGACATGTCTAATGTATGTGAGCTGAAGTTTCACCATTCTTGCCTCCAAAAAAATACCCTGGTTTCACTTACTCCAAGATAGACCTGTTTGTTCTCCTGGCAGCGCATTCAGTACCTTTCTCCAGCACCACAACTCAAAGGCATCAATTTTTTTTTTCTTTTCTGTTATCCGTAATCATTGTCTAATTTTCAGATGCATAGCAAACGATTGAGAAGAGCATGGCTTGGAGCTGGTTCACCTTAGTCTTCATGCTGACATCATTGCTCTTTAGTACTCTGGAGAGGTCCCTGACATTCCCATTTTCCTGATGTGACTCATCTTTTGATTTCTTGGCTGTTGGTACCAAGGGTGTTGATTGTGGATCCAAGTAAAGTGAAATAATTTCTCTATCTGTCATGATTTTGCCTATTGGCCCAGTGGTAAGAATTTTTGGGTTTTTTTTTATATTGAGATATAATGCAAATGGTCTTGTGCTCATTTGCTAACTGAAAGGCGAACCCACAGTGTCCTTTGGAAGAAAGGCCTACTGATCTGTTACCAAAAGGTCACAGCCCTGAAAACTGGTCTATTCTCCACACAAGGGGTCTCCCTGAATCAGAATTCACTAAAAAACGATTGGTTTGGCATTTTATTTTTGTGTTTTAGGACTCTGAAGTCAGTTGCCTCCCTGCTATCTTCTCACTGCTAAGATTACAGGAGTTCTAAAGCACTTCCTCTTTGCTGAGATGGTCCAGCCCTGGGTGGGTTTCTGTCTTTGTAGCCAGAAGGATGGTCAGTGAGTAGGGGCTGAGAACAGTCCAAGGAGTGTCCTCAAGGGAGAGAGTGCAGTTAGTTTTCTTCTCCCAGAGTGCCTTATCTGGTCACACATAAGCCTGCAGGCCAGGCCCAAGCTGCTCCCTTATTTGGTCTGTCACTCAACACATTTTACTCACAAGAGCTGCGCTCTGCCAGGCTCTGTGCTGGGTACCGAGGACACAAAGTTTGGCAAAAAGTCACATTGTAAGGTGGAGGACATAGAGATCAAATGACATAGAAGTGAGAAGTGGGGTCCTTCAAATAGGCAAGCTTTTTCTGGAATGAGAGGAGTTTCTCTGAAAAACTGGCCTTGGACTTGAGACTTGGGCTGAGCCATAGAGAGGATGGCCTGGGCATTTTGGACTTGAAGAGCAATGGGGTGAAGGGGGTGGTGGGAGGCCCTGCATGCACAGAATCGGCATTTTATTTTTGTGAAAAGGTAGTCTGAGAGTCTTTGTTCCCAGCTGATGGTTAAGAATTTTGTTCATGAAGTGTCCTGGGTGATAGGACGATCTTGTAGCTCCTCCTGCTTTATGGTTGGAATGGTCTCCGCAGAAGGTGGAAAGGGACGTGGAACCTTCTTGCTTGGCTGCCTGTCATGTGCTCTCAGTCCACAGCTTCAGGGGCATGTCTGGAGCTGGTGGGGTCAGAGTGGCAGCTGTTTTCCAAGGGCCAGGCTTCCTGGGAACAAGCCCAGCATTCCTGGTTTTTGTGACTGACCCCAGAGATGAGTTGGGTCAAGGTTCTCTTGCTTGCACCCTGGACTAAGGCATAGGTGCTAGCCCCTAAGGGGAGGGTGCTGGCCTTGGGCCAGTCTTGCCCTGACTTCCCCTACCTTGCCCTTTCCTGCCTCTCCTTAGGCTTCCTCCTACTCAGAAGCTCCTGCTGCTGAAGCCCGTCACGCAGTCCACCAGGCAGAGCTTGGCCCTGGAAGGGCGGGGACTGGCGTTGGGAATTGGGGAAGACCATGCATCTCCAAATGTGTTAGCCTGTATCTCTGTATTTATATCTGTATCTCTGTATTTCCCTACATAATACAGTTTTATCTCAACTAATGTAACCAATTCTTATTTTTTACTATTGTCCAGTATCTAGTCCCCATCACATTTCCCCATTATCCTTCATATGTTTTTTTTTTTAAATTAGGAATTTTTTAGAACCTTTATCCTCCCCCTGCAGTTGATGTGGTGAGGGAAAAACCAGGACAGTAAAATAAGGCACTTTCTTGGTCTTCTAAGTGTGTTTCTCTAAAATCAGGGTTGGCAAACTTCTGTGAAGGACCAGACAATAAATATTTTAGGTTTGGTAATCTAGATGGTTTCTGCCACAACGACTCAAAAGTAGCTTTGCCCTAACACAAATGCAGTCATAGACTATACATAATATAGTACACACACACATACACATGCACACACGTACGCACTATATATATATCTATATCATCTGTGTCTATATCAGTGTGCCAATAAAACTTTATTATAAAAGAACAATCAGTGACTGACTGAAGCTTGCCCATGGCCATAGTAGAATAAACTTCTCTTTTTTCTCCCCTTGCAATTTGGAAAAAAAGAAAATGAGGTCATCTGTACTGTAGACTGTTCTGCCTTCTGGGTGTGTCTCATTGCCTTCTCATGGAGTCATTTAATTTGTCCCACTATCCTCTATATTTCTGGTAAACAGGACATTGGAGCTCGAGGCTTGATTAGATTGAGGTTGGACATTTTTGGCCCTCGAGTCCCTTGTCAGTGTTGCTGTGTCTGGCACACGGTAGAAGGATGCGCAGTGGGTCAGATTGGCCCGCCGGAAGTGAACCACGATTGATTGCCGCCTTCCTGACCCGTCACTGCAGATTTCTTACTCTCTTTACTAACCTGGAATCATCTCTCAGAATCCCTTATTAGCGCTCTCGCAGACCCCATTGCCTTTAGTTAGCACTTGTGTCTTTAGGGATTATAGAATGACTTTGCATTTGGCCAGTCTTTTGTTATTTAGCAGAATTCTATAAATGACTTTCCCTCAACCACCAGGGCCACTTGGTTACACGAAAGGCCCCAGGCATTGCGACATAATTTCTCTTTAATTGTTGGTTCTCAGTGGAAAGTGGGGGCACTGGACTACTGTCATTGGTGACAAATGAGGCTTTGGTTTGGCTCATTTGTTTTGTTTTCTCTCTTTATTTTTCTCCCTAATAATTGCAGTGAATGCTCCCATTCCGTGTATTCTGTCTCTGTCATCTGCACTTGTTGTTATTCTTTTTGATGCTCGGATGGTCCCAGCTCAGCCTATCAGAGCCCTGGCTGCTCACTCGGGCTTCCTGGGGCCCCTCGCGCTGCCCCTGCACTGAGACGCCTATTCTGGTGGCTCCCTGTTTGCCGGAAAGGAACGCTGCAAGAATGCAGTGTACCTTATGTGGTGCCCAGTCTGTGCCCCTACCAGCCATCCTGACGCTGACCTGGACCCACTGCACTAAGTGTGTGTCCTGAATGACAAGACCTCTGGCTGCGGGACAGCACAGCCTGTGTGTCTGAGCTGGGCCAGCCCTTCAGGTCATCAGTGCTGGAAATGGTCCCTGGAAAGTGCCAGTGACGTCCCCTCCTTTGTTTGGTACCAGAAGCAGCCACTCAGAACATGCTGACAGGCTCTGATCAGTAGATGCCAGGCTGGGCCGAGGGCTCTTGGTGAATCTGGGGCTGGGACGGAGGAGTGGGCTGGGCAGAGGCCCTCTGTGGGCTGTGGAGAGCAGCGGAAGCTTGAGTCTTTCCTAGAGGGAGGCCCTCACCTCTCCTCCAGCCGAAGAAGGCTTCAAAAACGTACCTTCCCCTTCCCTCACCCCCAGGCTCCTGCTGGTGTCCCTGGAGCATGGGAGGCTGCTGAGCTTGAGAGGTGGTGTCTGGCAGGAGCTGTGTGTCTCACCCTGTGGCAGTGAGGGTGTCCATGGCTGCAGCCAACAAGGGTAAGTGTCCTGGCCAGGCACCTGGCAGGAGTTTTGTGTGAGTTTCCAGCTGTCCTGGTAGGAGGGGTCATTCCTGGATGTGGGGTGAGTGAGGAGTGTGTGTGTGTGTGTGTGTGTGTGTGTGTGTGAATGTGAGTGTGGTGTGCCAGTGTTGATGTCCAGCCCCATGTGGGATTGGCACTGACCCAAGCTCTGGTAGGGATCCCTGGAGACCCTTGCTGGCTCGTTCATGTTCTAGCCTAGGGAGGTACATGTCCTTCTGACCACTGTTCCAGCCTTTCTGCCTCACTGTAGATGGAGGTGGGCCCATAGTGAGCGCTGTGGCTGGTGAAATGCACCAGGTCACAGCAGACTGTGGAAGGTGGTTTGGGTTTCCTTCTGTAGTGGCAGCAGAGACCCCAAAGCATTTGAGCATCAGATCTGTGGGGCTAAGCAGATTATGGAATTACCAGGCTGGCCCTTGAGTCCAAGAACCCAGGTTGAAGTTGGCTGAGGCCTTCCCACCAGAAGGACTCTCGGCAGCATTCCTGAGAAACTTAGAATCAAGGTACTGCCTGGCCTAGCCTCCCACCCGATCTTCAGCCTGCACTGCCCACATCTCTCCTGCCTTTTCAGGCCTTGAGGAAGCTAGCTTAGCTCTGGAGCAGCCAAGGGCCTTGGGGAGTTAAGAAGGCTTATCTCTGGGAAGGGTGTTCCCTGGGGGAGGGCCTGGAGAGTTCCCCTGGTCAGTCCTTCTTACCTGCTAGTGGTCATGAGCTCCCCTTTTGTTTCTCAGACCTCCGGGCAGATTCCATAAGCCTGATGCTGTCTGTGAGATTGTGGTCATCAGGAGAGGTTGGCAGGAGCCTCACATGCTGACAGACTTGAGAGAGAAAGTCTTGGTACTCTGGGTGTGTGTGTGTGTGTGTCAAATGTAGGTAAGAGAGACAAAGAATGAATGAGAGAGAGAGCACGCGAGTGTGCATGCTGGGCTGGGGACCCGGAGGTCAGGGCCCAGCCTCTGCACGGCTGGGGTTGGTGAAGACTACAGAACAGTCTCTTCCTGCCTCTGGCTTCATTGTTATCCTCTGTAATGAGGGGTCAAGCCCTGAACTCCCTCCTCCCTCTTCCTACCCACTCTCAGGGTGAGCATTTTTTGTTTTGGTTTTATAGGACTGAGGTTTCATAGAAGTTGTTGTGTAGGGGGCCTCAAGTCCCGTGATCCCCAGGGCCCAGGAGGGTAGTGGCCCTGCCCTGAGAAGAGCCCTGCCATGGGTGCTGGGTGACATAAGGATAGTCATGGGGTGGCGTTGAGGGGGCATGGTTTCTGGGGCACAGGGGAAGCTACTGACCCCAGGAGCCCTCTCCTATGTGCCTAGGCAACAAGCCCAGAGTCCGGAGTATCCGCTTCTCAGCAGGCCACGATGCAGAAGGCTCCCATAGCCACGTCCACTTTGATGAGAAGCTGCACGATTCGGTGGTCATGGTCACGCAGGAGAGTGACAGCAGCTTCCTTGTCAAGGTGTGTGCACTCCTCCCCCGTCACTAGCCTTGCTCCCTCTGTCCACTCCCAGATCTGCTTCGTCCTCCTGGGCCTGTCAGTCCCAGTTCCTTTAGGCTGGGGTCATAGGCACATCTTGCGCCCCCTCTCTTGCATTCCCATCTGCAAAATGGGTGGGGGTGAGGCTTCAGTGAGATGAGCGCAGTTAGAATATTACTCAGATCGGGGTGAGCAGAGCTGTGGTCAGCGAATTGTCTGGGTGCTGGCGATGGAAGGTGGTGAAACACAGGCCTGGGTTCCCATGTAGCCTGTCACTCTGACTCAGTTTCTTCTACAGAGACAAGTCAGTATGAGAATATATGTATGTGAAGGAGGGGGTCATTTTGGGGATAACAAGGCGTGACTTTACCCTACATCGGGATGATGTGCATTCTTTGTGGTGATTTTTAAATCCTCTACGTTTTCTGCCTGGTGGAACAGTCACTTTTTCTAGTGGTCACACTCACATACCCTCCACTGTGGGAAAGTGTCGGATCCCTTCCCTGGAGGAGTTAGGGTGGGAGGTAAATGGAGGGCAAGTGTTCAGGTTGGTTAGTAAACCGCAGACAGAGCCATGGGCAGAGTGCTCAGGGCGGCGTGGGGGATCTGCCCATCAAGACATTTCTGAGGAAGGAGGGCTTTGCTGTCTTGCTTGGAACTATGTCCAGGGTTGTACCCATTTCCGTGCAACTCTGAAATCCTTGCTCTTTCTCCTACAGCTGACAGCTTCCCCGAGGGAATAAATGGAATGAGCTGAAACTTTTAAAAATAGCTTTCCTCCTTGATTGCAAAATCCATTCATGTCTATTAAAGAAAATTTGGAACGCAGGAAAATATAAAGACATTTTAAAGTACCCGCAGTCAGACTATCTAGAAATGACTGTGGCTAATATTTTGATGTGCGTCATTCCAGCTTCTTTTCAGTGCGTACACAGAAGCGCATATGCTTGAAAAACCAAAGCTACTCTCACTAGGCATGCGCTGTGTTTGGTGTTTGTTGTGAACCATCTCCTGGCTGTGTCAGTGAATAATTTTTCATGAGCTTTTACAACCGCCTGCTATCCCATTATTTGTACCATCACTGATGTAGCTGATTCCTTCCACCCATGTTACGGTGGTTTCTATTTTTCTCTGTTATAAATAGGGCAGAGATGTTTGTTTGTACATCTCAAAGTATTTCCCCGGGAAAATGTGGCGAGTGTGTGACTGAGTTACAGTGCAGAAACAGTTGGTAGGTAAACAGGAAGTCCTTTGGAGAGGTGTGCCCTGTACCAGCAGAGTGCAAGGGGGCCCCCTGGGCTGCGTGCCAGCATCTAAACTGAGCAGGACAGGACTGTGTGTGCAGTGGGAGCTGAGAGAACAGCAGGCATGCCTCATACCTCGCGGGCTGCCCTTCTAGTCCACCTCCCCACGCGGCAGCTACCTCTGGCTTATCGCCCTTTGTATAGGTTTTCAGGGATGTCATCTGTCCTGGGGGCACTGGTTGCCAAGCACTGTGTATAAGCCACAGGAAGTGCTTGGGCTGTGAGTAGGGCTCCCTGGACACAGTGGATGGCAAGCATCTGTGTTCAGGTGCCAGCAGGGTAGGTGGGAGGTGGCCTGGGTGATGACTGGCATCAGACCTGTGGGTCTAGTGTGTTCTTCTCTCTCATCATTACCCTTAACCCGTGCTGCGTTGCCTGGTGTCTCCACACGAGTGACTAGGGACCAGCATCTCTGGCTCTCGGCTGGCTGTGCTGGCAGATGATTGAATCATGTTCTGGGACTCTGGGCAATGACTGATGGCTTGCTGTGTGCCATAAGAAACAAGAGTGGCCAAGCCAAGAGGCCTCTACCCAGTCATGCCATGTGGCCTGCAGCCAGTCTTGCCATGTGGCCTGTAGCCAGTCATTTCCTGGCTTCTAGCTTTCCATCTATAAAATGGGGCACTGAAGAGTATGGGCTGGTAAGAAGCTGAGGAGTGTGCTGGCTGAGTCGTGGGGATGAGGCCCTCAGAGCAAGAGGGTCCTGTCAGCCTGGAACCCTCAGGGTGGGGCCAGCTGGGATGATGGAGGGCAAAGTTCCCTGGGATGTCCAGGGATACAGGCCCTCAGGCCTTATTGGTGTCATGACCGGGGAGTGCGCTGAGAGAGGCAGCAAGTGAGAAGAGCCTCTGCCTCTGTCCTGATGTAGGTTGGCTTCCTGAAGATCCTGCACAAGTATGAGATTACCTTCACGCTGCCGGCGGTGCGAAGGCTGAGCAAAGATGTCCGGGAGGCACCTGTCCACAGTCTGCACCTCAAACTCCTCAGCGTCTTGCCCGTCCCAGAAGGTGTGGCACCACCCCCACCTCAGTCCCTGTCCCGGGGGTTCCTCCTTTTCCAGCAGGGCCAGGGGAGGGGTGAGAACAGGAGGTACTCCCCAGTGCCATCTAGAGCCGTCAGGAAGATAGCCGCAGACATGGAGCCTCTCTGTGACTTTGTCATGTGTCATCCGATGCCCCAGCCTACCCCCTGGACAGAATTGAAGGCTCACAGTATATCCTGTGTGGGAGTGATGGGAGCCAGCCTGCCCTCCTGCCTTTTCCCTAAATGAACACCTGGTGGTGCATTTGGCAGCAAATTCCTACCCTGTCACCTAGGGGGCCTTGGGTTTGAGGCTCCTTCCCCAATTCCTCAGGCAGGCTGGCAGAGGCTAGATAGAGTGTCAGCTTGGCAATATGCCACTTTGATCAACCCCAGCTTATTTCATGTTCCCCACCCCTGCCTCATAACTTTGCCCTTGACCTTCAGTAGACTGAGCAAGATTCCGCAGGCTTTTCCCTTTATCTGATCTATTCAAGGCGAAGGAGCCCATACTTCCTCCCCATCCTCCCTTTTCTCTGCTTGCCTGGGGCTTTCTCCTGGAAGCCTGAGTTTTGTCGCCTTTATCCTTCAAGCCAAACCTAGGCAGCACATGGTGGAACCCACTGAGGAATGGGGAGCCCCCTGGCCTGAGCCTTGAGGGCTACAGGGCCCCCATGGCTTATCCTTACTACTTTGCAGAAAGGTTAGGCATGTCTAGGTGGGGTGAGCCAGTGAGTCAGAGAGGGCTGCTGATCGCCGCCCCCACCTCTAAGCAGGTTATAACATCAAGTGTGAGTATTCGGCGCACAAGGAGGGTGTTCTCAAGGAGGAGATGCTGCTCGCCTGCGAGGGGGGTGCCGGTGCCTGCGTGCGTGTGACGGTGCAGGCACGCGTCATGGGTGAGAGCGGGAGCCTGGCGGGCCAAGGAGGGAGGGCCAAGCTCGGCGATGGGGGCTTCTCTCTCTTCCAGAGGAGTTAGGTTCAAAAATGGGATTCTTGTCCAGGCCCGGCGCCCAATACTTCTTTGGTGGGTCCCCCTCAGCCTCCCCAACCCAGCCCTGAGGAAAGGAGGAGGGGTTCAGCTCCCTGAGCAGCCTTTCCTCTGCCTCGCAGACCGGCACCACGGCACACCCATGCTGCTGGACGGGGTCAAGTGTGTGGGTGCTGAGCTGGAGTATGACTCGGAGCACAGCGACTGGCATGGCTTCGACTGAGGCCCGTGGCCCCGCCACCACGGGGCCCTCAGCCTTAATTCCCACCTCGTCTCCCCGATGTGCTGCCTGACGGTGTGGCTTCCTCGCCCCTCCCCAGATGGGTGGGGGGCAGAGCATCCAGGGGCCCTCAAGCTGGGCTCTCAACCATGCCTCTCACCTCTGCCTTCAGTTTGTACCACCGCCCTGCCTCTCCCACTGCCTCCTCTCTGTGTGCCTCAGTCTCCTGCTGGAAGAAATGGATTGAGCCCCCAAGGAGGCTATCTGAGGAGGGGAGGGAGTGGGCCAGGGGTGGGTCCTCCCCGCCCCTACCCAAGCCATATGGGCTCCAGCCAGGACTGGGGAGAGGAGGGTGCTGGCTCCATGCCATCGCCCCATTACTGCTGCTGCTGTCTTGCTTTAGCGCCTCTCGCCCCTCCCTCTTTCATACCGTTGTTCATGGTGAGTGGGAGGGAGATGCAGTCCCAACCCCTGTTCCCCAGGACTGTGCTACTTGGTTTTTAAACAACCGATTGGGATAAAATCCTAAAGAATAAACCTTAAAGTGGATTCCAGACATGTTGGACTTTTGTTTTCCGGGATTCAGAGAACGCCCAACCTTTCACAGATGGGTCAAAGAACAGAATAGGGGACGCTCATCCTTAGAAGAGACTAGGGCAACCAGCCCATGGATTGACAGCAGGCTGAAATACAGCAGCGACTGCGCGAACGGCGCAGACCCAGCAGTGTTCCACTAGAGGGCGGCTGTGAGTCGGAACCGACTTGACAGCACCTGCCTCCAAAAGCTGTGTGGGGGGGGGCTCCTCAGTTGCCATGACAATTAAGTGTTTGAATGTTAGGGTCCTTCGGCTCTAGGCCACGTGGTCTTGAGCCAATTTAGACTCCTACTGACCCCATGTGGCAAGAGTCAAACTGCCTGCCAGGGTGTCCTAGACCCTCTGGGTGCAGATGCAGGTCTTTGCCCTGCAGAGCTGCTGGGTTGATCTGAAACACGGGTCTTACTGTTAGCTGTTGAGACTAACCTGTGCACCACTAGGACTGATGAAATTGTGAAGTTCCATTAGGGATGCCTGACAAGGAAACAACACCCCCTTCCAGGTCAGTTCACAACCCTGGGGACAGCTGAACACTTCTCCTTTCTGTAATCCATGCCCCTCCACTTCTTCCTACTCACGTGGAAGCAACAGACTGAATGGCATAAATTAATGCATCTGAAGCATAAATGCTTTATTATCACCTTAGAGTTCCCAGGCAGGTGGGGCTGTTGCATGTCACAGTTGAAGGTAGGTACCTGACATTTCACACTTGGGGAAACTGAGGTGGGCGGGGAGTGTTCTAATGTCACACCATGTTGATAGAAGAGCTGATGGCAGCCCCCCAATGCCTCTCACCCCTACTCCCATTGGAGCTACCTTTGCACGTGTTGGTGAGGTGGAAGTCATTTACAAGATTTACCTTGTGTATCATTTGTCCTTAAGGAAAGACCCCCTCCACATACACACATTGCCACACATCCCCTCCTGTCTTCACCCTAATGTGACCCTCCCCCCATTAGCCAGCTGCTATTTTTCTACTATTAACTGATACTTGGGTCATACCACTTCCAGAAAGGCCCTGCTACCCTTATTCTGCTGCTGCATTCACTTTCCTGTCACATACAACAACGTTGCCTTGCGGGGCGCTGGGTATAGGCTGACTCCTTCCGTGAACTTGGGCCCTGCAAACCCGGGTGAAGAACCCTTTCCTGCAGCTCTTGCAGTCTGCAGTCTTGATGCCCCGTTCCTACCCCACCCTCATTCCGTTCAGGGCTCGGACTTCCCGTCCTTTCTACCATCAGGGTCGCATGTTCCTGTCATGAAGCCTAGCAAACCTCTTATGTCCGTTAAGTCCCTAAAACCTCAGATCCTGGCCGTCTCTGGCTCCACCAGAACAGGCCTCAAAACTAAAGCAGCGTCTCTGGGGGTGTTCCCACCCATCCTCCTGAGATCTCATCCCTCTACCTGCCCCCCGGGGGGGGGCAGAGGGCAGAAAAAGGAGCGCTGACGTCAGAACAAGCATTTGGCAGCGCCAGCCGACTCTCCAGATCCGAGACCAAAAGAGGGCAGCGAGTGGGGCCGAGCCCTGCGCGCTCTCAGTTGGAAAGAAAGTCGATGGCTGCGCGCACAGAGCGATTGGTGCTGACGTCGACGGCTGTGACTTTGATCTCCGTGTCGCCAAACTGCATGGCAGCGCGAATCTCGCGGCGGCCAGGGGGCGCCGTGGAGTCGGGGCCGCAGTCGGCCGGCTCGAGCTCCAGGCTGAGCGCGCCGCACTTGCGCACTCCAGGGTCGGTGATGAAGCGTGCGTCCTCGGCGGCGCAGCAGTACAAGTTGATGAGGACGCGCCGCTGGCCCGGGCGCGCAGGGCAGTAGCTGCGCCGCACCTCCTCGCCCAACGCCACCGACTGCTCCGCGGCCACGAAGCGCTCGAAGACGTCGGTGCACCAGCGGCGGCCATCGCGAACCAGCAGCTTGTCGGGCGGGTGGCGCCCGGCCACGAAGCGGTTGAGCACTCCCACGCCGTAGGTCAGGGGCGAGCGGCGCACCCTCACCACCCCTGGCGCTTGACCGAAGAGCACGGCCCCCTTGAGGATGGTGAGGCCCACGTCGTGCGGGACGACGACGCGCAAGCCCTGGGCGCCCAGCGCCGCCTGCACCGCGTGCTGAAGCACTGCCGACTCGGCGAAACCGCCCACCAGGAACAGCAGCTTCACGCCTTCTACCTCGGGCTGCGCCAGCAGGGCCTCTGCAGGACGGGGGAGAGACGGGGACAGGGAGGGGGGGGAAGAGAGCGACTGAGCCCACCACTACCTGGCCTTTTACCTGCCACCATTCATTTACCGGAAATGGGAATATACTCTCCTGTCTGGTCGCCTGAATGGATAGGGAATTGCGCTGCCAACTCAAAAGCTGCTGGATGGGAGAAAGATGGGCAGTCTCCTCTTGTGCGTTCTACAGCCTCTGAAAACCCCCTGTAAGGTCAGCTCTGAGCCCATTCCAACTCAGTAGGCAATGAGTGAGTGAGTGGAGCAACTAGAATGTACCCATCTCCACCATAAAATGGCAGCCTGGTTCTGGTGGACAAAACCACGAGCAACCTCAAAGTGCTCCTCCCAGGCCCTGCCTCCCCAGCACACCTCGTCTGCCACCACAATGTGGAGGGAATGAGGCGATGAATTCCATGTGTGAAACGCTTACTGGGTGCCAGGCAAAAGCTAGGTACTTCAGCACATAATCTTTGTGACATTCTGGGGGACTCTACCACCACCCTATTTTACTGGCAAGGAAACCAAGACACTGGAGGTCCCTTACCTTGACAAACCTCCAACATCATCCTCTAACTTTTAGTTTCCAGGGCAGCGTGTTCCCAGTGATGCCTTATCG